ACTTCAGCTCCTTTCTGACAGATGTTGGATGTACTACAAAGCTCCACTGCAGTTCTACATGTTATTCAGTGCTTAAGTAGTTTTTTGAGCTTTTGCACTTCTACTCAAATTGTTTTTTAGAAAGACACTTACAACAGTACTCTGTAAAATATGTGTTTAGGTTATTTTTCCCCACCATTGTTAGTATTAGAACCCATTTGAGTTACTGGCTGAAATGAAAATAAACAGCTTGTGACAAACCAGTGACTAAGTGTTCTTGTGGTACATTTATATATACGAAAGGCTACTTAGTATTCAAATGCAATGAAAACGCTGATAGTAGATGTCTTAGGTGACATAACAGCACTAATCCAGAGGTTTTTTTAAAAGGGGGAATTTGACATCATAAAGTTCTCCGGGAGTTTGTAACTCTCTCTCTCTCTTTCTCTCTCTTTCCCTTTTACTTTCTCTCCCTCCTCTATCTCTATCTCTCTCTCCTACTCTCTCTCCCTCTCTCTTTCTGTCTCCTACTCTCTCCCCCCTCTCTCTCCCACTCTATCTGTCTCTCTCTCTCCTACTCTCTCTCTTACTTTCTCTCTCCTCCTCTATCTCTCTCTCCCCCTCCCTTTCTCTTCTATTCTCGCTCTCTGCCACTCTCTTATTCTCTCTCCCTCTCTCTCTCTCTGTCTCTCTTACTTTCTCTCCCCCCTCTATCTCTCTCTCTCTCTCTCTCTCTCTCTCTCTCTCTCTCTCTTTTTTACTCTCTCTCCCTCCCTCCCTCTTGTTCATCTGATGGAGGGGCTATCCAAGGGGGCCCATCCAAAACATGTCATTTCATGTAAAGCTTCAGTGCGTCTATACACACAACAAACACGCATGTTGTAATTGCTCTGGTGATGGAGAGGGGATATTGTAGGCTTTAAAATGACTAAAAAAGGAATTCAACCAATATTTCCAAATTTCAACGGTTGATCAGGTTTCTTTACAGTGGGAGTGACAAGAACCAGAGGTCACAATGTCTTCACACACAATATTTCACACAAAAACACAAATATAACCATTTTATTTGCTATCCTGAACCGACACGTGACTTCTGTTTTTTAAATGTACTACTGATAACAAAATAGTGTTAAATGAAAAAAAAAAAAATAATTGGGGGCTATTTTGCCTCACAACACCCTGCATGTACCCCTCTAATATGAATGGATTAAAGATATTAATCCATTAATCCAAAGATACCAAAATGTTATCGCAAAACCGCCAATGTCTCACACATCAGGCAGTGTATTCATCTTAAGTAGTTGCTTATGTAAGGTAGCTTGTAGAGGCATTTAATGCTTTGGGTGTCTGGTTCTTATCACCACCACTGTGAACACATCTGACTCAGTAAGCATTTTGAATCAAACCATTTATTTAATTATTTAAACCATACTATTTAATTATGAGGAAATTTGTTGAAATCGGTAGAACTCTCCTTTAAAGCAAGCCTGTGAGGCCTAGAACTGATTTGGCTTTGGAACACTATCAAGCTCGGATTTACAGTATTGAAAATTTTTCATTCCAGCTTACGTTCATCATTCACACTGGGTAGCTCCACAGTTTCTGCTCAGTTTCATTAAAAAAACACAACTTGCTAACAAGGAGAGTCTTAACTGTTTTAGCTTGTAAGTTCAGGCTCCTGTCATAAAAACATAAACACAGTCTGAGTCTAATCAAGTCAACGGTGTAACCTGAGCCGATATTAGCACTAATGCTCTACAGGCTGCTGCTCTGGGCTCTGCTTTCCCAATCATGGAGAGTGTGTAACCTCAGGGCAGCTTCTTGACCTCTGAGTCCTGATCCAAACTCACTTAACGGTAATTAGCCAAATCTCAGTGTCTTTTATGCATGGTGCTAAAAGGTTCTTGATTTGGGTGTAGAGTTATATGAAAAACCCTTAATTGGTATAGAATTTTTACAGTATGCTCAGTTTCTATTAAATGGACAGGACCTGCCGGCAGGTCCAAACATCTACAGACTTGTATAACTTAACTCCAAGGCCCTGGTTCAATACTTTTTTAACATGTCCATGCCAACCTTGACTTGCCACTTGTAAGTACGTCACACCTACGTTACACAAGTGGCCACTCGTAGTACATTAGGTTAGCCTCAGTGAGCTATATAGCTAGCAATGCAAGCTTAATGCAATGCAATTCAAAACCTTTTGTTTTCAACCATAATTTACATATTTTCTGTGAATAAGGGCTTTTCCTGTCTCTGAGCTTTCTAAGTTATGTCAGCATCCATGTATAACAGACAGTACAGTTTGCTACCTCAAACCAAGTGTGAAAATAGTGAATCACTATTATGGTTATGGTTTTGAAATGTGAAACATTTTTTCAAACATACCATGATATGGGGCCAGAATGTTTAAAAGGTCCTTCACACTCGCATATCTCATTTGCCAAAGTGGTTCTTTAAGGAACGATCAATTGAAAGATTCTTAATGGAACCAAAAGTATTTCTTATCTTGCTATAAAAACAATTTATTTCAATAAAAATATAAACAATGCACTTAAAAGTACCCATAAAAAAAATTGTAGAAATTTGTAGAAAAATATTTGTGTGTTCTTTGTAGAAGAATATGATGATAACTTCTTGTCATAAATCAACAAAACTTGTCATTTGACCAGGGTTTCCAAGAGAAAGCAGTGATAACCGAGTCTGAATGCAGAATAAGAAATTTATTTCATAACAGTTACAAAGAACAAAATATTTAAAAGCATTCTTTATCTTACATAGGCTGTACAGAGATGGCATGTATTTGATTCATTCTAAATGATTCTGGAATAGGAACTAGAAGTATTAAATAGAAAACTGAAAATATTAAAGTTGATGAAAAAATATGAAATATTTCATTTGTCTACTGTACAAAATAAGAAAAAAAAAGAAAAAAAGAACGAAAATCGAGCTGAAAATGGAATCCGTAATATTGTACCCTGATACAGTGTTTAGGCCTCTCACGCGATCAAAAATTATTTTACATAATAACGTGATGGTCTTGCCATCTTATAATAGCTAAAAATCTTGGCCTCTTTGGTTCCATGATTCCGTATAATACATTTGAACAGAATTCAGTTTTGCTTTTATAAAAATAACTTTTTTTATTTCAATGGCAGTTTTTTTTCTTTCTTTTACTAATAATGCGACTTTTTTTTCAGTGCAAACATTGTAACAACCATTCGCTTGGAGAAGGAAGCGAAAGACGTTTCAAGTATTGAAAAAGAGTTTACGACTAGTAGCTAAGGTTCAGTCTGTCCGGTGTGGGTCGGTACTATACATTGCATAGTTCATGCGGCACTTATTTGAAAAGGATTGTGAGCAAGCACAGGTGCGCCACTGGATACCCTTTAAAGGCATTTCAATCAGCAAGTGCTATAAAATGTGCATTTAGGATTTTTTTCTCTTTCTTTTTGTCTTTTGCAAGTGCGATGCTGCACCCGTAGCCAACTGAACAATATGGCAACTTGAGAGAAGTGAAGATATAATACGCTTCAGTTGTTTTAAGTACTTTTGGAAGTGTTTTCCTTTTTCCAAGGGCACTGTTCTAGTGTTCTGCAGAGGAAATCATTCCCCGCGCACTGTTTACAGCTTGTCACATGAATAAGCAAACCCCGCCCCAAGATAGGTTTGAAGCATAACAAAAAAAACCCAAAACTAAAGCCATGCCTCATGCTTTATAAATGGCCCCGGTGCCTGGAAGTGGTGGAATGTCTGCTCATGTTCCACTGTAGTGAAGAATGTTTAAAAAATGCAGCATATCTGAGACGATGAGGGCCACTTAGGTGCCGTTTGGGAAGCATTTTGTGATCTCCTCCTTTATCTCCTTTTGATAAAGAAGAACCCAGACGAATATTGCGTTGGAAAACCCTGGTCTTCACCTTGGTGATATAAAGGACTGGTTATGGCAAGTGCTGCTGTTGAATGGAGTAAGTGGAGTCCTAGCCAGTGCTTTTGTATACAATTGTGGGCAGTTATACAGAAAGAAACACAGATGGACGCAGACATAAAGGTCCAAGAAAACCTCTGGTCAGTCGTTTCCTAAGGCTCTTCTCTTCTCCATTCCCCAGTATAGTCCGCTTAGAGGAGAGAAGAAAAGAAATGGCGAACGAAACAAAACAAAACCTGTACCAAAACAGTGTCGTCCCTTTGACCTCGAGAACTATTATACAAACCTGCGCTCGTAAAATAAGACTGAATCACATGATAGCCGAACTGATAAATGCTTCTACCAGAAGGATATTAACGAATATAAATATATGTACAAAAGTTTGTGCATGCATGGAAGCGTAGGTGTAGGTGCGCACGTAAATGCAGACGTGTACACGGATATGTTTGCAGATGTTCATAAATATCACTTTCTTACTGTAAATCTTCTGTTTTCCTTTCAGATGTCACTGAAAGTCACCAGTCCCTGTTTTACAGCAATAGTTCAGTGGAAAATCTAATTGATACAATCCCCCTCTCCCCCCACTGAGTCCTCAGTCAAGGCATGTTTTTGTGTCTGACGTTTTCTTTTTTAGTTTTGTACTGAAGCTAAGAGGCTAATGTAATGGAATTTTCTAGCATACTAGTTAGCATTGTTCAAACTTGCCTTGTCTGTTTGCTGTGCCAAAAAGGCTTCTTTATGACGTTTCAGACACTGTTTGACACATGATTAGCAATAAAAATAGAGACAAAAGTAGCAGAAAACAGTCGTAGCATTCGTGTGTCTGAATTTGTCCATTTTTACAGGCAATACTTTGTATGTCAGTGTCAGAAACCACAAAAGCAAGTCTTTTAGAGATGACTTAACAGCTCAGCATGGTTTTAAACAAATGTGTGCAGTTTGTATAGTGCTAATTTTTAGGTATTAGCATCCATTACTTATTAGCTACATAGCCTCTTCTTTGCACTGATGCTAAGAGGCTTATGTAGCTAACAAGTAATGGCAGCTTATAGCCTGCTAGTTAGCACTGTTCAAACTTGCCTTGTCTGTTTGCTGTGTCAAACAGACTGGTTTATGACGTTTCAGGCACTGTTTGACGTACAGTATTAAGTAAAAATAAATACTGTACTTTGTATTTTGGTGTGGGAAACTACTAAGCAAGTCTTTTTGAGATGACTTAACAGCTCAGCATGGTTGAAACAAATGTGTGCAGTTTATATAATGTAAATTGTTGGGTACTAGCATCCATTATTTATTAGCATCATTAGCCTCCTCTTTAGTTTTACACTGAAGCTAAGAGGCTAATGTAGCTAGCAAGTAATGGCAGCTAATAGCCTGCTAGTTAGCATTGTTTAAACTATATACCTGTCACAAACTTGACTTGTCTGTTTGCCCTGTCAGACTTGTTTATGAGGTTTCAGACACAGTTTGATATACGGTATGAGCAGTACTACCATTCATGTATCTGATTTTGTCCATTTTTATAGACAACACTTCGTATTTCAGTGTCATAAACTACATAAGCAGGTCTTTTTTAGATTACTCAACAGCTCAGCACGGTTTGAAACAAATGTGTGCAGTTTGTATAATGCTAAATGTTGGGTATTAGCATCCTTTACTTATTAGCTACATTAACCTCGTAGCTCCAGCAAAACTACAGAAGCAAATTTTGGACAACAAATGTTTTGACTGATTACCTACATTTGAGGCAAGGAAATTGTCGTAATTAAAAAAAAAAAAGTGTAAATTAGATTTTTTCCACACACTATTCCTCTAAAAGTCCCCAGCTCAAGCACAACCGCACTCCTCCACGATCATGTTGGGCACGTCCCGTTTGACAATGTTGTACTCATCGTCAAAGTACAGCATGGACATGGTGCTTAGCTTGGTGGGGATGCAGCAGGAGTTCATGGAGCCCGGGCTCATGCCCCGCATGCGGTACTGGTTGACCACAGCCGTGTGGAAGGAGGAAGCTGACCCAGGCACCCCGGCCATGTATGCCGGACAGTTGCCCTCGCAGTAGTTACCGAAGTATCCCGAGGGGGCAATGATCCAGTCGTTCCAGCCGATGAGGCGAAAGTCGATGTAGAACTGCTGTCGGCAGCACAGGCTGCTGCTGCCGTCGCACTCCAGGCCGCGCTTGCGAATGCGGTGCTTGCTGTCCTCCACTGCCCGTGCTCGGACCACCAGGAACGGCCGGTGCGCCTCGTCGGCCGAGTTGACCAGCGCCGGTAGAACACCTGCAGCCTCGCACCCCTCGCAGCGAATGTCCAGGTTCTGCCTCCTCTCGCCTTTGGAGAACACCAGCTGCACAGCGTCCGTCAGCGGGAACGTGTGCCAGCCGCTGCGTTTGAGGTCCACTCGCTTCTCCACCAGGTTCCATTTGCTACCCACGCCTGGCTCCTGGTAGTACACCTTAACCGTGACCTTTCTGCGAGAGCCCTTCTCTGATGAGATAGGCAGCAGCTTGAAGTAGAGCCACAGGTTGGCCTGGGACACGTAGAGGTTCTGGTTGCCCTCGTTGGAGATCACAAAGAAAAGGCTGGACTTGGATGACAGCAGTTCGTCTGCGAGAGAAAGGTGAGAGATATGAAAGATTAGTCATCAATCATAGCTGCACCCAGCACAGATCTTGCTCTTGGCTTGGATGTGCAGAAAAAAATATTATACACATATATTATTTATATTATGTGAATTCTGTAAATTTTATAAAGGTTATTCATATTCACACAAAGCTGTTCTTTAAAGAGCCTTATATGGAAAGGTTCTTCAGGGAACCAAAAGTGGTTCTTCTACTAGTGCTTCAAAGAACATTTCTTCGCACCTATCTGTCATATGTCATGTCAAAATATGTCAATATGTCAAGACATATTTTGCTCTTTTTTCAGTTAAATATATTTCCTCGTGCTCATTTGTGATGAAAAGGTCATTTCAGGGTGTTGATTTTGTATGCAAATAACCACTACTTTCATTGGCCAATTTAGTGGAGGACGTGTGGTAAGGAGTGTGGTCATTGCACCCTGTTGGGAAGAACAACATTGGCTGCAGAGGTGCACAGAGACTGTATATGTTCAACTTTATAAGCTTGTTTACGCTGAGAACCAGACAGTCACAAAATTTGTCAGCCAAGCAGTGTTTAATGCAGTAATTCACTTTGTATGTAGTTTTTGTTTCAATGTTATGTTAGCATCAAGCTAATGGTGGCTAATATTTGCATTTCATAGCGATTCTCCAGATTAAATGCAGTCATGTGAAGCTTGTAACAGACATTCAAGTAACATATTCTTTTCTTTGGATATGATAGTTTGGATATTGACTCCTTTAGTAAAGATTTCAACTCATGACCTGTCTCTGAATGTTGTTGGAGCCTGTTAGCTTAGCTAAATGCCCAACTTACTTCAGTGAGGACAGAATACAGCCCAGTCAGCCCACAAAGAGCCTGTTATCATAAATGAAAAAGAGTCTGTCACTAACACAGAAATTAAATATTGTCCATGTGTGACATCATATCACTGTTTTACATTGTCTTATTCATCAGAGATGTTCATGTGTGAATCTGTGAAACTTCATATGAGCTGCAATGGTAAAGCAGAGATTTCCCACCATGCGAGGAGATGGCAGTCCTCTGCTATTTAGCATTGGGGACAAGTGCAATGTCTGGCTCGGCCAATCAAATCAGAGCTTGTAAGTTATAAGTTAATCATCTCAGACCTTGACATTAGTGAATCTCTCTATGTTTAATGCGAATTCTCTTCAGCAACATCAAAGATGTCACAAGCGTAGCAAACACAGAGTCACTGACATTAGCACTGGCTAAAGAAACTAAAAAAATCATTACTATCTCTATTATAATAAACTGAAATACTGATTGTTACAAACTACAGCAGTTTAGTTCTAGTCATTTAGTATAGTTGCAATACAAAGAAATGTTTGTACCACTTCTATAGCTAATCTTAACATTAGAGAGAGCCACTGTTAGAGATTCTTTTCTAGGTACTGCTACTGTTTGCAAAAAGCCCAGACCAGTAATCATTTCATGTTGGTCTAAGCTACTCTATGCTAGTCTATGTTGGTTTATGCTGGTCTGGTTCTGGTTTGGTTCTGGTTTAGCTGGTCACCCCAGCATAGTCATGCTAGTTGACTAGCATACCAGCATCAAGACACAACATGTTCTGGTTTTGGTAGTGATCAGCATATCAACCTCAATTGCTGCTGACCAGCGACAACAGCAATATGCTGGTTTTGCTGGTGACCAGCCATGCTGGTCTATGCTGTTTTTTTCTAGTAGGGTTATCATCTGAAGATTGTAAAATAAAATCAAATGAGCAGGAAAATAGCACAGTTTGGATGCCTGTGTCTGCTAGTCTGACAGTCAGGCTAAATATGTGATACTTTGTCCAGCTTCAGCCCATTTCTTTGGTATAAAACATTAAATTGCTATCTGTTGGATAAGAGGAAGCACACATTAGCTAGCTAATTAAATCTCAGAGATTTGTTGGTTGTAGATTGCCGTTAAGGTCACTATTATGATTAGCTAACATCTGAGAAAAGGCACTCCAAATATCATTTTTAGCTTTTTTAAAAACAGTATGTAACTGTCGGTTATATATATTAATTAGTGCTTTTCCACGTTATTTAATCTTATGTTCATCGTACTGTCTCCAGTTGGTGACGTAAGAAAACAAGCTTTCCAAGACACATGGAGAGCTGTAAGTTATTCCTAACTGTTGCAACATCCCCGAATCACTTGCATTACTTGACTCACTTGTATTTTGTTTTAAGCCCTATTCGAGCTGGATTCGTTTTACCAGTGGAGCTCTGTTAATATAATTTGTGCATGATTTGACTGGCCAATTAATTTGGGATAAAGGATTTGTGTAATTTCCCCCAGTTACCTCATACAGACCGGATTGAAACATAATTGCACGGACATTTACGCCAGTATTATGTGACAGGACCACACTTACGAACAATAACAATACATTGTGCGGCTAAATGGCAAATGATATGATATTTTATAATTGTAATTCATCTCCAAAAATGTTGTGGACTTCAGTAGTCTTGTCAAGAACTTGAGAAATAAGGAGCTGAGTCAAATCAAGCTTACTGCGATGCTGATGCAAACAGGACTACTATTGCTGAGGGAGCTCTGAGTTAGGAGAATTATCTAAGTTAATTTGCTCCAGACTTTATACTGGATTAAAACCATGGATCTAATTGGTAATCACTAAAATTGCAGCACCTCCCTAGTTAAAACTAATCCAGCTCAAATAGGACTTTAGACATATCGTCCCTCGATACAAATTAGAAGTGATAGAAAATATGTTGAAGAGCGACAGCAGGACAGTCCGCTTATTATTTAATGCCCTACGTCCACAAAACAGCAGTGTGTTAAGGCTATTCAGCTGTCTCCTTAGTTTACTCTCATTCACTCAGTAGAGTCCCTGGTTTTCTTGCTCATTTACACCAATGATTGCCATCTCCCCCTCAGGGTCTCTGGTTGAAGTCTGAAGGCTGAGGGAGTGGGTGTGGTATATGAGTGAGGTGGGATGTTCACTCGATGTGATGCAGCAAATCCTTACAGCCTATAGAATCATGAGCCTTCTGTAAATAGCAAATGTGCCAAAATGGCAGAGACATCAGATTCAGTTTCTCGTGTATTAGATACACTGACAAGTAACGTAGAAGGAAAATGCAGATCTGTTTATTAAGTCTCCTTTGTGTCAGTATAGAATAATGCCTTGGTCCGGACACAGAGCTGAGGGACATTAACATGCTGAGAGGGCAGTAGATCGCTCACATTGCCATGAATAGGCTCCCTAACTGGGAACACTTCAACCTAAAGGGATCAAATGGTGTTAGTGTTTCGTGTTAAATGACAACGTGGGTGGGAGGAGCTGTCAGGGTCTGTTCCGCTGTCACTTCTCTCTCTTTTCTCCCTCTGTTTTCTCTCTCTCTTTCTTTCTGTCTCTCTCGCTCTCTTTCACCGGCTAACTCCGACCCTCCTGAACTCCCTCTCATTCTGTCCTCCTCCAGTTCAGAGATATTAACATCTCTGTACCGCTCCTTTGAGTTTGCGGCTCAGTGAAGCTCGGGAGAAGTGTGAATTCTGGCAGTTCCCTTTTGGTTAAAGGGGGCCAGGCCACATTTCTCCAAGCTTCTCTCATCTGTGAGTCACATGACAGCACGGGCTATGACAGCGCTGTTCTGGGGTCGGGCCCAGTTGGCTCAGAGTGAGGGCGGAGATGAGGAGAGGAAGCTTATGAGGGCACGGCACAAAGGTTCAAAGACTTCTGAATGAAAGCTGCTGAGACGTAGAGCTTACAGCGCCTCAGAGAGGGCACAATGAGCCCTGTGATTTCAAAAGAAGCGCACGGGACAGCCAGACCTTCAACACATGGCCTTACAGTGAGAACATGATTGAGTAAAAAGAGAGAGAGAGAGAGAGAGAGAGAAAGAGAGAGAGAGGAAACTGTTTACATGATGCCATACTTTCTCGCAGTTGCCACAGAAACTCTCCAAGTACACTCCTAAAAATAAAGGTTCCTAAATGGTTCTTGGCTTGGACATACAGTCCTGGGAAAAACTTTTGATTAGTTTGGAACCTTTATACCTAGAGGTTCTTTTAAAGCTTGCACGTTCATCCATTGAATCACCTGAGCTGATTTTTGGTTCCCTATAGCAGTGGTTCTCAAACTGGCCCTTAGGGACCCCCAGACATTCCCTATTTTTGCTTCAATCCTACTTGCAACACATAAAGACAGAGCACAAATGTGGTCTGGGGGTCCCTAAGGGCCAGTTTGAGAATCACTGTTTTAACCTCCTAAAATCCCAGGCGTATTACAGACTAAGGCTTACTATTCAGTTACTACAGGGACTTCAGTGCAAACTGGGCTATTCTTAGTTTATAGAAGTGTGTAATAAAACGTTTTATGGACTATTTAAGGGGTTAAGGAACCAAAAAATGGCTCTTCTGTGGCCATCATTTGAAAGAACCCTTGTGTTCTTAATATGTTGCTTAGAAAAATACAGTTAGAAGAACATGTGAGGATCCTGACTTTTCACTGCACATCAGCCATTGCAAGGATTGATAAAATTCCATCACCTGATTTAATTTATTGAAGGATTAGTTAGATAAACTAGGTATCGGATGGTAAATGTAAGTACTGGGCTTCCTTGAGGAGAGCTTTGGAAATAGTTACTCTAATGCATTGGCAGGCATAAAATTCACAATTACTTATTTATTTATTTATAATAATTTATTTTTGAATTAAGAAATGCCATCTGCTCACATACATCGTTTTACATGTCATTTTCTTAGATGTCTAAGACTTTTGCACAGTACTAAATGTGCAGAACGGTCATTATATGCATATGGATGTGCTTTCTTTACAAAAAACTTAAGAGAGAAGAATGTCTGACCATTTAATTGAAAGTAAAGTAAATGATTTTACAAAAAAACATGAACACTCAAAGAACCATAAATGTTTCTCTGCATGGTTAATTGGTTCTTCTCTATGACAGAAAACCTGCTCTGTAGGATTCTTAAAAGAACTTTTCCAAAATA